GGGGGGCTGCCGGGGGGCAGCCCTGGGAGTGCTGCTGGCGCTGAGCGCCGCGCTCCTGGCAGTGGGCTTGGCCAGCGAGTACGACTACGTGAGCTTCCAGTCGGACATCGGCCCGTACCAGAGCGGGCGCTTCTACACCAAGCCGCCGCAGTGCGTGGACATCCCCGCGGATCTGCGGCTGTGCCACAACGTAGGCTACAAGAAGATGGTGCTGCCCAACCTGCTGGAGCACGAAACCATGGCGGAGGTGAAGCAGCAGGCCAGCAGCTGGGTGCCCCTGCTCAACAAGAACTGCCACGCCGGCACCCAGGTCTTCCTCTGCTCGCTGTTCGCGCCGGTCTGCCTGGATCGGCCCATCTACCCGTGCCGCTGGCTCTGCGAGGCCGTGCGCGACTCGTGCGAGCCGGTCATGCAGTTCTTCGGCTTCTACTGGCCCGAGATGCTCAAGTGTGACAAGTTCCCCGAGGGGGACGTCTGCATCGCCATGACGCCGCCCAATGCCACCGAAGCCTCCAAGCCCCAAGGTAAGGCTGCCCCCTCCCACGTGCGCGAGCCGCCCCCGCCTCCCCCCCACTCCCCCGGCGGGGGCTGCAGGAGAACCAGCGCCACCCTACGCCTGCCCGCCGCTGGGTCCAGGCGCTGGGGACTGACGGCCCGAGGTTGCTCGCATGCTGTGCACGTGATTCCTAAGCGCGTCTGGTCTGTCCCAGGTATCGCTCAGCGCCCCTCGCGACCTAGGTGCACGGCGGGGCTGGCCCAGGAGCGGTGGATCTGTGCCTCGGCCTCGCAGGGACTCGCTGTGGTCTCCGGAGCCAACCTTCCTGGGATCCAGCTTCGCCTTTTCCATACCTGAAGCAAAGCTTTGCGCTTTAAGTAACAGGGAAGCTTCCCTCTCCTCGGGGAGAACTCCGAGACCCTATCGAAGTTTTTAACCTCCTAGACGGGAGGAAAAAACCAAAACCCAAAATGTAGAAAGTTCAGAAAGGCCGAGAGAGTGTTTGACGCAGCTTTTGTTTATTTTCATAGGTTCGACAAAGATTTAAAAAATAAAACCAAGCTCTTTCCTTCCCTGGTCATTCAGTCAAGTAGCTTCGGGATTGCTGCAGAACTGGCTGAGAAAGTTTAGGAACCATGGAGGCTGCTGTTTCTCCACCCCTTGCAGGTACCAGCTCTGCCCTCGCAGGGCTGGGGGTGGAAAGTATTTTCTCCCTCCCTCTCGCGTACCCCCTGCTTCTCTCATTTACACAAATCCTCAGCTCATTAGAAAGATAAAAATGTAATTAGCTCATTGTTCATCTCCTCCCGGGGAGAGCAGCCCTGCAAATTGGAGACTTTCCTAATAGCCTGAGGGACCGGCCCGAGGTTCCTCTCGGAACCCCCTTATTCTTGAGGGGGAAGAAAAAAATTCTGGGAAGTCAAAATGAAATAAATATAAATATAAAATATGCACATCACAGGCCTGACTTCGATAGCAGTAAATTGAACCCAGAATTCGTTGGAAGCGAAGTTTAGGCTCTGAGGTGTGGAGAGGGTCAGGGATGGGGGAGCTGTACCCCAGCTGCGCTTAGCAACACACAGGCTTCCTGAGGGCTTTTTGAGGAGGGCCTTTAGGGTGGGGAGAAGGGTTGCCTACACTTAGCTCACCTAAAGTGTCTTTAACCTCTGTTATTGCTGCTAAAAGAGGGGCGTACAGTCACCTGGCTCCTCAGAGTGAGGATTTGGGCAGGTTGGGAAAAGGGACACCCCAAATTTTGGATGCTTTTGCTTATTCTAAGGAGGGAGGAGATGGGTCCACAGTGACTGACGTTAGATGGCTGGGTGGAAACGCACCGATTGTCCGCAGTGGCCAGATCTGGGCACCGCTGCTCTTAGGGTCAACTCGTGGTGGGAATGGAGTGTGGGTAGCGGATACATCTGCACTTTGCGAGCGAGAACTGAGCAGTTACCTGGAGCAAACAAAGCGCCTTGTGTTCTGTTGGCGTGCACCCATCCCCTGAAGCCTGCGGGAATTTCCTTCTCCCCTTCCTCAGCCAGTGGGGATTAGCCCGGCCCCGCCCTGAGAGGCCGTGCCCAGCCCTGAGCTGGAGTCCATTCCCAATGGCCACCGATGGTCTCTTTCTGGGACTGGCTGCAGACATGAGTGGACACCTTAGGGGGATCGGCTGCGGAAAAGGTGCTGCAGTCCACAGGGAACATGGGGGGATTGGACGGGTTGCCTGCAGAAGAGAGGAAAGAATCCTCACCCCAGCCCCCAAAAGGCTGTGATGGGGTGGGGAAACCCCATAATCGCTGTCTTCCGGACACCTTTTGCCCCTTGGCTGCAGTTCCACCAGTCGGCGCCCTTCTCAGCCTGGCTTGGAACCGTCCTCACTCTCCTCCCAGCAGCGCTCAGGTAGTCACCCTCTCAAGACAGGTCTTTGAGGAACAAAGAGAAAAGCGGGGAGAGGGCCGGTCGGGAGTGGGGCTTGGAACTGGTTTTCCCCTCAGTGGTTTTGGCGGGGGGCTCTGCCCTGAGAGGGCACACCATCCTCCCCAGGACTGCAATCCCTGGTGTAAGGGAGCCCCACGTGATTTCCTCCGAGGTCCCTGTGGAGGGGAGGGTGGGGCGTGTGTGTGTGTGTGTGTGTGTAGGTGTGTAGAGGGCAGGTCAAGACAAACCTGACTACTGATCCTCATAACCTTATGGCTTGTGGCTGTGGAGTAATAACTGGTACTTTCCAATGAGAATAAGTACGCATGCACTACTCTTTTATTCGTTTATTCTTTATGCTTTTATTCTTTAAAATTAAAATGCATTTTCAAAGCAGTGTTGTATCTTTGCATACTAGTTTCTTTTCACACACTTGGGCATATTCAGTTTTGGGGTATTGGCCAGCTCTCCGTGGTCATGTGTTACTAAGGAGAAACCTGATAATGAGAAATGACTTGACATTTCCCCCCCCACAAAGGCTGATACCCAAGCCATAGCAGCTTCTGTTATGGAAGAGGCAATTGTTCTTTTTCTAGGGAAGTTATTTCTAAATTTGGCACTTCCACTAGAACTGTGAACTCCCAGGCTGATGCATTGTTGTTTCCCTCTCTGCCTGGTTTTACTGGTTGAAGTTGTATGAGCCAGCGCACTGGGTTTGATTTTGTTGTTGTTTGGGCATGTCGTGCATTTAATCAGCCTGGCAGAGGCCACAGAGCCCTCAGTTCCCCCAGAAAGCCTTCCTTAGGGCTCCTTTTTGGACCCCCAGGAACTGGCCAGGGAAGATTGTGGGGGTTGTATGTGAGAGAGGGAAAGAGAAAAGAGAGAGAGAGAGAGAGTGAGAGAGAGAGCGTGCGCACTTGTGTGTGTGGATTGATATATTACAAAAATCACTTAATCCTGATTCAGTTGTTGGGCTGTCTCCTCCACACCCCCTTAAATATTAATAAACACAAAACTTTTTTTTTGTTGTTGTTGTTCATTTGCTTTAAACAATATTTGAAATACATCTGAAAACAGCTGTTTAGTTCCACCTTTCAGAAGGATGACTGGGTGGATTTCTCCTGCAGACGCAGCCTGTACGGCCCTAAGACGTACCAATGAGGTGCAGATTAATACCGCATCACACATTTCTCTTTCTCTCTGTGGATCAGGCTGCTCCAGAGTCAGCCGTTAGAAAAGCTGAGATAGGGGAAAGCCGTGATAAAAACACACAGAGCCCACCCCAATGAGCTCCTGCCATTCTGAGAGGCACTGAAGTCAAAACATATTTGATGGGACTGAGGAAAACGTCCCTGAGAAGTGCAGAGCCATCCTTGGCTGGTTGGGTCAGGTGAACTTCAAGCGTCCAGAGGAGATGCAATGAGTGTGTGGAGTGGGCAAGATGTGCCCTTTATATTCGGATCACTGTGACTTTGCTATTTGGTCAAGATTGTATTCACAGAACCTTGCAATGTGTGTTTGTGTAAATCCCACTTTTCTTTTTCCAAAATAACCTAAACAAGGAAAACCCAAAAGCACAGTTCACTCTCCTTGTGCAAGCAACCTGGTCTTTTCCATGTTGTCACACTTCCTCTTCCCCAAGCGGAAGCAAAAACCATAATGCAAAATTCTTGTCTCCTTTGTGAGAATGACCACCTCTAGAACCCAATCTCAAGTTCTGGGTGCAAAGCAGATTTCCAGCATCTGGGCTAAGGACAGTCATGCCATCGTCTGCTTGGAGCGTGGTTCTTAACCGCACTGAGAATCTGGAAGGTGTTTGCTCCTGGGTGCAGAATAAAGGTGGGAGAAGAATGTGTCAATAAAAACTAAGGATGAGGTAGGTCTCTGCTGGGCCCTGCAGGGACCCTGCTTGGAAGTGGGGAGTGGTCTATGGGCACCTGTGTCCTGAGGGCAGCCTTGAGCTGGGGGTGCTCTGCAGGTCCACTCTTCTCTTCCACTTGTGGAGCCTTTGCCTATTTCAATGTCTGAGCCATAGCAGGAGCTGATGGGGAGGGAGATGCTGCCACAGAAACCACGGTGGAGGAGGATGAAGAACAGTGGGCTCCAAGCACACCAAGTCCCACCTGCTCTCCCTGAGTGCAGTGTCAGGTGTGACTTTCCTGTGCTCTTCAGCTCCAGCCTGTCTTGGCCTCCTGTGCTGTGCCTGGGGTTGGGGTGCCCCTAGAATGTGCTCATGATATTTCCTAGACAGTCAGTAAGCTCCAGGCTGCTTGATAGGTGAGGATGATGACAATGATGATAAGCCACTTCAGCTCTTGGAGGAAAGCACTGTCCGGCTCTCCCTCTGTCCTGGGAAGCAGGGGTCCTTTACCTCTTCCGACTTCAGAAGTATATTGGCTTGGAGGAGGCCTCTGCCCTGGCCTCAGATATCTCCTCCCAGGCAGTGGAGCTGCCTCCCAGCGTTATGCACATCTGCCCCCACACACCTCCTCTTCAAAGCACTTCACAGTTGCCCAGGAAAGAGCCTCCAAAGGGCCCCTTCCTATCCGGCCCTGTCCTCCCATTTGGCAGTGCCTGCTAGTGCCCCACCCCGCCCGCCTGCCCTGGCCTCCTGCTGCGGTGGCCCTTTTGGAGAGGAAGTGTTCAGGGGCTGAGGGCTGGAGTTTGTGAGTCTGGCTGAGTTTCTTTCTCTCTTGGCTCCCGGAGATCTGGTCAGAGGGATCAGCAGGCTAGCTGGGAGTGTGGAAATGGGAAGGGGGCAGGAATCGGAGGGAGGTATTGAAAGGAGAAGGGAGAGGATGGGAAACAAACGCCAGGAAGAGATCTCTGTGAGTTCGTAAGCCAGCTTTTCCCGGCACTCACGGCCTCCCACAAGTCATCATTCACATGACCTGCCCCCACCCAGCCTCAGGTCATGCTGGCTTAAATAACTGTGTCACATTTAGCAGCTCTGGGCCAAAATGTTTCAAGAAACCTGCGCCTGCTCTGATTGTAGACCCTGGGCTCAAGCCTTCTTCTTTTCAATTCTCAGGTCCCCTTCATAAGTTCCAGAAGACCTTTAGTCACTTTCAGCCTGGACCCAGGGCTGATCTCTTCCCCAGGGGCTGCTCCCTTCCTGCTCTGTAACTTACAGTTCCGTTTCTCCCTACTTCCTTTCCCAGGCACAACGGTGTGTCCTCCCTGTGACAACGAGTTGAAATCCGAAGCCATCATTGAACATCTCTGCGCCAGCGAGTTTGGTAAGAATGCGTTTCTAGCTTCCTCTGGAAGATTTGGAACCTCCTGGTCTGTGTCCCTGCCGGATGGAGGCCCTGCTGGTGTATCTCCTTGCAGCTTTCTACATTCTCTACCTCATTCCTCTCCAAATAGCTGCTTTTCTCAGGCAGATGGGAGACTAGACAGGGTCCAGACCCAGCCAGTTTTTATGAAGGCCATACTTTGCCCTCCTTTGTGGGGGATCGCTGGACAGATTTTTGGGGATCTTCTCTAGGCATGTAGGGAGGCTGAATTGGGGACAGGTCGAGAGGAGCAGGGAAGGACAGCAGCTACTTCTCGGAAGCTGCAGGAGGTACAAGTTGCCACCTGTTCCTGCATCTGGTTGGGCCCAGCTATTTCCGGACTGGCTCTTTTTTTTTTTTTTTTTTTTAAACATCTACCCCTAGGTGTCAGCATGACTCTGTCCAGGATTTAAACGGCTGCCCTCCGGGTGCCTTCCCAGGGAGGGGAGATTTCAATGCTTAGGGGATTCACAGGAGGGTCCTTATCAGGTTCTGCAAGGCAAAGAAAATGGACATTCCCACAGTAGTGTGGTTTTTCTCTCTTCTTCCCGTCACTCTCCATCGAAAGAGAATTCTGAACCAGCACTCTCAGCTCCAGGAGGAGGAGGAGCTGGTGGGGATCAGAGGGAGATGGGGGAGCTGCCAGGGGTCTTGGGGCCTTTCAGGGATGGTCTGTTATAGTCTGACCTACAGAAGACCCGAATTCACCACACCCCGGAGTCTCTCCTCTGAGCCAAGTAAATGTAAACGGCATCCCTTTGGAGGGCCAGCTCCCTCTCTCTCGCGTCTATCTGACATGGATGCAGAAAAGTGGCTCTGGCCAAGCCACACTTTCAGAAGGATCAGTGTGATGCTGAACAATGTGTTTCTCATAATTCCTGCCTTGTGTCCCTGAGATCGGCTTTCTTGCAGAATTCTTATCTGGAGAAGTGTAAAGATAGGTGATGGGAGTCCATTCGGAGGCATCCCAGGCCATGTTTTCATTAATCAAACCTCTTAAAGTACATGTTCCTGCAAAGAGCCCTGTCAAAGTAAGCTGCACACACGTGGGAGGACACACGCAAGTCGGAGGGAATCATGCCTCATGACGGTCATTCTCAGGGTATTGCAATTGTGGATGAAGATGGAAGCTGGATGTAGATGGCCACCAGAGCTGAACTGGAGACCGTGTGTCTTATTTCCACACATGGGGAAGATTGATGTGTTCTCTATGATGCAGCAGTGTGAGTTACTTGTCTGTTTCTGCATTAACTCAAATTTGTCAGTGAGGATTCCCTGTATACCGAGTGCTTTTTGAGTTCTATAGATACGGATCGAGGGTGAAACTCTTCCTCTAAGTAAATGTAACACATGAGTATTATTTTTTTAAAAAGACAGAAATTGGCGGATTCAGACCCTTTGCCACATAGGCTGAAGAGGCAAGCCTTGGGAAAGAATTTGAATCTGGCAAGGTTGACCTTAAGGTGTAGGGCAGGAGTCTAGAGGGCACTCAGGTAACTCACCTGGAACGGACATCTTCTTCCCATGGCAGCGGACACCTGTCAAATCAGCCAGCATCCTGTACACAGAAGAGGATGGAGGATCTCATGTCGATAACCAATCAGGGTTTGTGGAATCTGAATGATTAGCTGTTTGGGATTGGGTTCCTTTAGCCCTGACAATATTTTCTTCTTGGGTTCACAGAACTTTTGGGTTCCTCCTAGACCTAGATCTTATCCAGTCCTCTTATTTGATAAAGAAGGAATTTGACTTTCCCAACTGGAGTCCTTTTACACTCTGCCACCTGGCCTTGTCACTTACGAGTCGATGCACAGCCTCTGAGCTTCGCCACGGAGGCGCTGACCTCCTTAGTGTGCGTATGGTGTATGGCAGGCTTTTTTTGAGCTGGTTGCAGGAGAAACCTTTTTGGTTTTTTGTCTGTAATGTTCTCATAAAACAATATATAGGAATTTTTTTTCTTTCTCTCTCTGCAGGGGCTGAGCTTAGCTCTGCCCTTCTTAGCACCTCAGAGAATGCACCCTTGTCGAGAAACGTGTTTCCTAGCTCAGCTCACTTCAAGTAAGTGAGGCAGTCAGCCACACTGATGGGATTCAGTTAGGAAACAAAGAAATTGAACAATGCAAGCTGACACACAGCAGAGAAGAAAGAGAATGCTTGACTCCCTCCTCCAGGGATCAAACTTTGCATTAAGTGGCCCTGACATCCTCAGTGGGAAGACATCAGGGTGCTGGAAGGCTCTCTGTGAGCTCTGGGAATAAGGGGGTACATTTCCCTGGGTAAGCAGCACCCTCATCCACCTGCCACTGCATCTCTGGTCCCTGGCAGCCTCTGTGGAGCTGGGCATATCTGACCCCTGACCTTCTCCCCATGCAATGCGCTTTAACCCCTTGGCAGATCTGCTTAGTCACTCGTGTCTCCAGCCCTGTGCCCCCTCAGTTCAGGGCACATTTTTTCCCCAACAGGAAAAAAACATGAGCAGAAAAGCCTGGGTGCTGATGCTCAGAAGTGCAGCTGATCAACCTGGATCAAGCACCAGATGTGGGAGCCAAGACTTAGACTGGGCAAAGTCACCGCATTGAACATGGCGACCGGCCTGTCTGCTGGCTTCCGTCAGCTCTCAGGGCTCTGTTTTTTGTTCTCTCTCTGCTTTTCCTGCTCTGTGACAACAGGGTGCCACCCTTGCCTCTTAAATAGCCCAATATAGTATTTGCGAGCCGCCACACTAATCATCTTGCTGTTAACAGCTCAGCAGCCACAGCCGTCTTCCCTTTGGGTTGGTTTATTCCAGGGATATGAGGATCTGATTTATTTATAATTGCGGTGAGGTTAATTCCTGCCTCTGGCCACTTTCTCTGGCTGCTTCTGCAGTATCTGTAAACACCCGTAAGCTTTTGTGGGGGCAATCTGCATGGTGATATACTTCTGCTAGGAGAGTTCAGAGCTTCCACTTGCACTGCTTCCTTCAGTGTTTTGAGCTTGAGAGTTCAGGTGGCAATTTCTTCAGCCCAGTATTTTCTCCTTATAGAAAAGGATTTCTTTGCCCCTGGAAACTTTCCTTGCCATCTGGAAGGATTCTTTTTTCCATATATATATTTCCTCCTAAAGAGAAAAGCTATACTATGCAACATTAAGGTTAGTCAAATAGGAAGGAAAAGAACATCAGCTTTCACAGTTAGCATTAGCGAGTATTTCCTAGTAGAAATGTTTTCAGAGTTTCCCGCACCTCCGTACCTCCACTAATCTGTTCTCACTCTGCCTCCAACTTCTTTCAAGGTGTCTTGGCTGTGCTGCTGTTTGGGGGACAGCGTTTTAGTCTGACGGGAAGTTTGAGCTCTTGCAGAGAGTAGGCTCAGCCTTTCCAAAGTAAACCTTGGGTTTCCTCCCAAAGATGAAGCAAGCTGGCTGCTAGCACAGTCACTGCAGCACCTGCAGGCTGCCCGAGAGCAGCCTCTGTATCTGATGGCATGTTTTACCTGGTGGGAGAAGGTATTGTGAGACACACTATTCAGTTTGCACTACTGACAGAAAAAACAGAAAAACAAAAAAAAAACTTCTTGCAGAAATGCGCAGAAAACCTTTGTCTTGGAATGAACAAAGTAAGGCCTATTTGCACTCAAATAGTCCCCGGCACAGTGTCTTATACATGGTAGACATAAAATGAAAGTTTGTCAGCTGAGTGTATGAATGATAGGGGATACTGGATGTGGATGTTGGAATTTTTATTTATTTATTTATTTATTTATTTATTTATTTATTTGAGACTGAGTCTTGCTCTACCCTGGCTGGAGTGCAGTGGCGTGATCTCAGCTCACTGCAATATCTGCCCCCCCCGGGCTCAAGCAATTCTCCTGCCTCAGTCTCCCAAGTAGCTGGGACTACAGGCGCCCGCCACCACACCTGGCTAATTTTTGTATTTTTAGTAGAGATGGGGTTTCACCATGTTGGCCAGGCTGGTCTTGAACTCTTGACCCCAAGTGATC